ATTCCGTTGCTCATTAGGTCACAGTGAACCTGAAAAGTGAACCCAGGTCTGTGGGGGTTGCAAAGTTTTCCACTTCCACCACCGAGCTTCCTCTGCAAACTTCCACGACCCATGGGCTATAAAGTTAGCTATTTTCTGAAAATGCGTGTCAATACAAAATCCATGAAATGTTCATGCCAGGGATATCGCCAAAGGGAAAGTGCCCGAGGAAAGAGGTGCCAGTGGGTCTAGCATGGAGTTTCTTGTTGGAAATTGGTCATCACAATTCCTCGGCCTCAGTTCCCTAGCCAGGAGAGAAGGGATAAGAATAGTTATGTCCCCCTGAAAGGGGCAGGGTTGCACAATGGCAGAGGCTGGTGGTCAGACTTCAGCTCTCTGGTCACTGAGGCTGGCTCCATGGAACTCCACCTGACTTTTCCTCTTCCTGCTCACCTGGGGCAAGGCAGGGAGCAGGCAGGGTGAGGGGGTAGCTTCGGCTTGTGGTGACAGGAGTCAGGTTTGGCTAGGGGGCGAGAGATGCAGGGAACACTGAGCCTGCCCTTTGGAAAGGTATTATCAGAACTTGGGCCCTGAAGGGAGTTTCCAGGGTCATATGAATTGGATGGGAGTTTTTCTAAGGGACAGAATGTTCTGGAGGTGTTGACTAGGGATGGTCTGTTATAATCCCCACTGTCCACCCAGAGTTTCCTATTCTGGTGATTGCTAAGGGGCAAATGAATTTTGAAAGTAGAAGAGAGAAGAAAGGAGCACCTTCTTTTTTCCTCCCCTGTACAGGCAGTGTAGGCTGACGATCTCTCTTCTCTTTTCCTTGATAATTTGCTCTCACCTTGGCCAGTTAGGAGCTGTGCAGTCCAATGACCACGGCTCTTGACTTCTCTTATTTTATAATAGCTCTATGACTCATTATTATTTTTTAAAAGAGAAGTTCCAGGAAGAAAAAAAAAAAAACAAATCATTCCCATCTCCTTTCTCTCTCCACACCCTAAAGATGTTTGCATTTTTATTTCAGTAATACTGAGAATATTTGAACCACGTTACTGATACATATTTCTTGTGCACCTACCGTGGACAAAGTTCCCAAAGAAAGTCAGATTATCTCAAGAATTGCCAAGACAATGCCACGAAGGCCAGCAGAGCCCTTACCAACTCGCCTACACTTAAGGATGAGAGTACCCAGAAAGGCCACTGGCTTCCCTCAGACCAAAGCTGTACCCATTACTTTTACAGAAACAGGAAAGTGTGGCTGAATGGAGCCTGGAACATTCTGCCACCGGCAGGCCAGGCGAAAGCCATGCAGCTCTAAACTTGGAAAAGACAACTGGAGACAGTGGAGATGCTTCTTGTTCAAAGAGAGAGAGGGTGTGGAACAACCAGCTGAGCTGCTGTGCGCAAGCAGGCAGGAGATGCTATTGATGCAGAAGCTAGGCAGCTCGGCAGAGGGAATGCACCAGCCTAGACGGAGGGTGGGATTTCCGTCAAGCCTCACAGGGAGGTAAGGGTCAAGAGAAGTAGGACAGAGGGGATTCACTTCTGCACCAGCTACTGGCTCCTCCTCTGCAGGGCTGGAAGCCTTCTGGGGGAGACACAGGAGCTGGAGAGACTGAACACGGTGAGTTTCCTGCTGTCCCTGGAGATGGTGTTTCCTTTGGGGTTACAACAGAGGCTAATCCCTAAGCGCCAAGCGACTGAGTGGTCCAGAGATGCTGTCCTCAGAACAAGCTGTTCTAGTGTCCTCTTAGAGATTGGACTGAATTCTTTTTTGAAAAGGCTGATTCAGCTTTCCCCTTGGGGACTCCTAAGGCAGCTTTCTGGACATGTTCATGGCTTCTACCCAGCACCCTGCACATGTCAGTATCCACACAACCTGTCACCTAGCCCCGCCCTTGAGGCTTGAATCCCATGAAAGACACTAGCCTGCCAGGGAGTTCAAGTTCTCACAGAGAGACTTTTCAATTATCTGCAGAGAGGAAAATAAAGCCTGAGGTGTTTCCTTGATCTCTCTCCTCCCCCCCTGCACCAAGTGTGCCCCTAACAGGTGGCTGTGTGCCTTCTGAACCCTCAGAAGACTCATTAATTTCAAAAGCAGAACAGAGGCAAGGAAATATTTCCAAATTCTTTTCATCAAGAGGTGAAAGAAAATGATCATCTCAGGAGACAAAATTCTAATGAAAGGCAGAGAGCAAAAGAGGAGAGGCGGCCGGGCCTCTGCTTCATCTGGGGTTGTCAGGTTGTCTCTTGGAGAGAAAATCTATTCAGTGGGTCTCCAGTGTGGGCAGAGAGAACAATTCAAGATGGGATGGAGAGATCATTTTGGAAAGCCTGCTTTCTCACCCTAAACCCCAACTTGGAGAAGCAAAAATGCCAATGACCTGGCCCCCGTCAAGGGTGACTCTGATCTGAACGCTCAGGAACGCAAGCCTATTAACACCTAAAGAACTATGCATAGCAATTCACAGGAGTAAGTGTTCAGTCTTTGGAAATCAGTACAGCTTTAAGATCAGCACTTTAAAATCTAAGCAGCCAAGGCCCAGCACCCTGAGGTGGTCCCAGGTCTACAGAGCTCCAATGGGACAGAGGCTCTGAAAATGGAAAGTCAGGTCAGACAGTACCCTGGGCACCAGCTCTTCCAGCCTGGATCTTGGCTCCACGTGGAAAGAGACTATTAACCCAGTCCTCCCCTCACTGCCTGGAGGCAATTGCCTGGGCTGCGCCCCCAGGGAGGCCACTGGGGACAGTGCCAAACCCACAGATTCCGTGTGCATCCCATAACCTCAGGAAGTATTGCAATTGTAACCCTTTATAGTTAATCGAGGAAGGACAGAGAGTGTAGCTTGAACAGAAAGTTTAAAGGGAGGTGGGCAGCATGATTAGGATGTGGACACTGAACAGATGGAACACTAATGAAAATATTTAAGCCTTTTGATGCACAAGTGATCCAAAGCCACCTCTAGTCAGCTTGTCTACTGTGAATTATAAGATGTTTAAAAGATCACAATATTAAGGATTTGTAAATAAACCCTTGATAAAACTATGTTTATATCAAGTCACCGATATTCTATTGCATTTCCCCTAAAATAACATCACACATTTCCTCTTTTTCACATTCATGGCTGCATATATTTATTCCTCCAACCAAAATCCAAGGAAGGCAAATAGCCACCAGGATCATGTCCCCAAAGCGGCCTCATTCACTCTGCTTTCTTCCTCTTTCAGCACCAAGCTTGTCATAAATGTTTAATTAAATGGAAGCTGTCTTTCCACTGCTAATGACTGGCACCATGAAAAGCTTTTCATTTTTTAAAGGAGGCGGAATGCACATGTGTAAAATGGTCCCTATTAATTTCCTGATATTGACTCTCTGGCTGGAGATGGGCTTGTAGTGTTCAGCAGAGAGCACCTCTGCAGAATGTTAAAGGCAGCCGCTTGGACTGAGAAAGGGTACCAAATGCAGTATGCGTCAAACAGACCATCGCTCAATGAAGTCACTTAGCTATTCAAAACATGTTCAGCTATCACTCAACCGTTTGCACCAAGAACCTTGGGAGGGGACATGGTGTGTGTGAGCTCTTTTCCAGATCTGGTTGTGCCTGACTCAGTGTGGGTTAGACTCCCAGGGCCACATCAGTTTTGCCCTCTCCCCCATCTTCTGGCCTCAACTCCCTGCAGCACAATCCCATGTTGAGCTTAACAAACAATTCTGCAGTGCTGGATTCCCAACACTGCCTCAAAAGGCCTCCAGTCTTTCCCATCCGAGGGAACGCACACCAACCTCTTTCCACATAGGGACATTTGTGTCTCTCTGTGCCTGTCTTTCTATAGGTGGCTTGTGCACACAGACAGATATAACTATGTAAATTCACTCCCTCATATTAAAGTCTGTGGCTAAAAGCAACTTGTATGACCTGCAGAGGTTTTCCCCCCATCCTGTGTTTATTACTGTGTCCCAGAAGCACATGCCTGCCTCATGCCCTGGTCTCCCAGGCTTTACACCATGGGAGCCCCTTGGCCCATAGCACGCGCGCACGCGTGCACGCATGTGTGTGCATGCGCACACACACACCATACACACACACACACACACACACACACACACCCCTTAACAACCATGCAAGATCAAGGCCAACAGCTGACACCTTCACCCCATGACCCTCCATTCCTCCCTCAACCTCCCCATGCCCTCACCTCCCTCCTTCCCTGCCTGCTTGCACAGTGATGACTGGATTTGCTTCTGGATAACAGACATGTCACTCTGCGTGGAAGCAAATCGGCACTCAGCCTAACCCGCAAGTGATTGCTGTTTATTAGAACTTAGGCTTGTTTCCTGTGAGAGACGCATGTATTTTTAGACTTCGTAAATGTTAAAACACATACATACACACAGCCAGCCACCTCGAAGGATATGCGGGGCTCACAGACATTACAAAATGCTCTTGAACTCAGCGTGAGAGCCTGGAATAATTAGGGTCTGCCAGATAAGGATTCTTAGAAATGACAGATTTGTTTTTAAAATAAGGAGATTTGCAGATGATAAAGGCTGGAACTTTTGGGGAGTAAGGGGAAGAGGAGGGAGGAGGAAGAACCTTTTTAAAAAATTCTTCATTGCAAAAAACTGAGCTTCATGGAGGGAAGTAATTATTTTCCCTCTTCATAGATGGCAAAACTAGATCCAAAGGCAAATCTTAATAATTTCAAAGCAGCCAAAGCCCACCTGACTTTTAAAGACAAGCTCTTGTTTTCATGGCACTATAGAACATTCCAATGAAGAGGTTTTGGAGGGTAGGGGTGGGGGGAGTGGAGGCCAGAGAGTAGAGAGTGGGGGTTTGGCTTATTGATTTTCTTTCCCCTGAAACTAACCCAGCCAACCTTCATCTGCAGTGGCGGCGGAGGGAGTAAAGTGGGAAGATGGTGGATGGAGGGGACTTACTTGGATGCGGGTGGGGAGGGGGAGCGCCGAGGGGAGGGGCGGCGTGGTGAGGGGGAGGAGGTGGGAAATCGAGTACCTTCTAGGCAGCAGGTTCTCCATAATCCAGAATGGGTCATAACTTCCTCGTTCTTTTTGCTGGTTTCATTCTCGCTGATACTTTTGGTCTTGCAAACCCCTCTGGAGTACAGCCAATAGTCGGTTCCCACAGCGATGGTCATCAAGCTGAAGGCAGCGAAAGCACCAACGGTGGTTAAAAGCATTTGAACACCTCGATCAAACAGCCCCATAATTCTTCATTATATAAACACCCAACCGACTTCTGGTTCTCAGGAGCGTGTGTGAGGGTGCGAATACTAAAGCCCCAAAAAATTAAAGATAATTCCACTACTAATATAATGGATATATGTGTGAATAGAGAATATGGAGAGTTATAAAAAAGGAGGTAAGAAAGCTCACGGAAAAGTGTAAATTATAAAGATCACACGGGAAGAGAGGCTTGCCTTTTGAGATCAAAAAACTGTTCCAGTTGCAAGTGATTGTTATTTTTTTTTTAAAAAAAGGAAAAATAAATAAATAAAAAGACACCCCCCACCCCCCAAGTGAGATGCTTTAATCTCTTTTCCTAAAATTCTGGTCTCCAGTTTCCATATGTGATAGCTATTTTGGAGATGGCTTCCACAGCGCGCCAGGGAACAGCCGAATTCTCAACACCATCTCTCATGGTTGGGACCTAGACAGTTAGAGACTGGGCGAGCCGAGAAGCAACCTTCGGTCTTCGTTCTGGGCTCTGCGGCCTGCGCCATGAAAATCCGTGGCTTCGCTAGTTCTCTTCCTTGGGGAGTG